ATTTCAAGATTTATCTTGAAGAACAATGCTGGCTGGATAATATCTATACACATACGAAGAAGTCCAATTAATACAACTGTTATTCAAACTTATGTACTAATCACTAAAGCTGGTGATGGAGAAATGGAAGAATTGTATCAACTTTTTCCATCTGAAATATCTCAAATACGCAATCAACATGCATTGAGACTTACTGGCAATTGGAATGCCCATGCTGGAAATGAAGAGGAAGGAACAGCAGTTGGAAAATACGACTTTAGTGAAAAACGAAGCTGGAAATCACACGATATCATGATGTAAGACCAAGGACTTCTTCGTTGCAAATATCATCCCCCCCTAATGAATTTTTCTGGACTTCCCATTCTTTGTAATGTTGTCCACAGTTTGTTATAATCCACACAGTTGAATGCCTTTGCAAGGTCAATGACACACAAGTAAACATCTTTCTGGGATTCTCTGCTCTCAACCCAGATCCATCGGATGTCAGCAATGATATGTTATGCCACGTCCTCGCCTGAATCCTGCTTGAATTTCTAGCAACACCCTGTTGATGGATTGATGCGAAAGTAAACTTTGAAGCAAAATGTTACCTGGATGTGATAAGAATGTTGTTCGATGACTTCCTCACTCTGTTATGTCACCTTTCTTTGGAATGGGTACTAATATGGATGTCTCTTCGTTAGTTGGCCAAGTAGCTGTCTCTCAAATCACTTATATAGACTAGTAAGTATTTTCTGTGCTGCATCAAGGAGGCCTGGTGGTGCAGTGGTTATGTGTTGGGCTGCTAACTGTGAGGTCAGCAGTTTGAAATCGCCAGTCACTCCTTGGGAGAAAGATGAGGCTGTTTACTCTGATAACGAATTACAGTCTAGGAAACTCATATAAGCAGTGCTACCCTGCCTCACAGGGTTGCCATGAGTCAGCACCGACTCCCAGGCAGTGAGTTTTGGCTTGTTGACACTTGTGAAACAGCTCAATTGGTGTTCTGTCCATTCCTAGAGCCTTGTTTTTCACTAAGGTAGCTTGGACTTATTGTTGATCCTATACAATCTCTTGAAGTAATGGAACATTGATTGATTCTCTTTGATACAGAGACTCTGCATATTCCTCTCATCTTTCATTCCATAGAGTCTTTCAGGATTGAAACGCAAGGCTTTCATTTGTCCTGCGGTTCTTTCAGCTTGGAATGAGCTGAATGCATTCTTCTCTTCGGGCTTCCTAACGCCAGGGTTATGCGCATCTCATCTTGAGCCGCCCTGGGCACATCCCTTTCAGATGTTACTTCACTGTTGGGTCCACTGGCTTCAGCGACTCTGCAATCCGATCTGGACCAGGGTGCCCAGTGGCTTTTAGCATCCACTTTGATGGTTCCTTTCTTTCCAACGACCTTTTGTTTCCCTCATGCCTGAAGCTCTTGATGTCATTCCACAGCTCTCGGCTCCTCCTGATTAGTGTCTATGGGTCAAATCTGTCCCTCAGGTGTTCTCCGCGTTCAGGTTGTCAAAATACAACCCGGGGTTGTACTCTGGTTCTCCTGGGTTGCTCTCATTTCTCAGCTTCAACCTGAACTTCCGCTTGATCACTTGGTGTGGCGGATGATACTGAGCGTGTCCCTGTCCTTTCTTCCCACTGCTGTCTTCAGTTTGATCCTAGAGCCATCACCTAAAACTCCTTGGATTTCAGTAACCGAGACAGACTTCCAGTCTGACTCATGGCAAAGCCTGAAGCATCTTAAGGCCATGTGGTGATCATTCACATTTTAGCCTGAAAAGGAACCATGTGGTTGTTAGTTACCATCCAGCGGATATGGGATTCATCGTGATTGCGGTGTTGCGGAGGAAACCTGCCACACCGTGTTTTCTAGGCTGTCATCTTGAGGGGAGCAACCCCCCAGGTCCTTCTCCCTCAGAGTGCCCTCAGAGTGAGTCAGACCTGCCATCCTTTCAGCTAGTTCCCAAGGACCGTGTGCCACCATGACTCCTGACCAATTGAGTTACCCGTTGTCATCTATGGGATGGATTCTAACTTACTGTGACTGTTTAGGAGAGAGTAGAATGACCCCACAGGACTTCCACATCGACGGTCACATCTTTCTCTTATGGAATGACTCGTGGGTTCAAACCATTGACCTTGTGCTTGGCAACTACGTTTGTAACCATTGTACTCCCAGGACCCCTTCTACCCAATGAAAAGTAGGGATGCAACAGAGCCTATTTACCTTAAGTCATTAGGTTAATGCCTCAGGAGTTACTAAGTAAAAAAAAAAAATGCTATTTCAGATGTTCAATGAAAGTTGACTTCATGTTTCTGATCACGTGAGTGGTTGGTATTAGAATTCTGTGATTCCCGTGACTTATTGTGAAAACAATCATAACCCTCACATTTCAGCTAACCATGTTATAATTCGAAGTTACTTATTGAACAAGGTTTTGTGTTGGGGATAAACACCGTGGGAGGGATTCTGGTCTACTGGGCTGGTGGTTTGGTGCAGAATGCCTAGAATAACACAGCCCTTACAATAATTATATCCTCTTTTGGCTTGTCTCTCTGATTTGCTTGTAGAGGGTTAGGGAGCAAGCAGAAATTAGTGGCATATGAATACTTAGTCTCAATTAGAGGTGTCTTCAAAGGACGGCGTGGGAGAAAGATGAGGCAATCTACTTCCATAAAGATTCCCAGCCTTCAGTACGCTGTGGGGCAGTTCTGCTCCGTCCTGGAGGGTCCCTGGGAATCGGACCAGACTTGATGGCAGTGGGATTTTAGCCCAAGGAATGCTGTGGTTAGATGCTGTTACGTCAGTTCCATGTCTCAGTGAGCCTATGTCCGACAGAACGAAACCCTGCCCCATCTGGGCCATCCTCACAACTGTCATGTTCGGGCCCAGTCACAGGGTCCATCTATTGCCTGGAGGGGTTTTCTCTTTTTCCCTGATCCTCTGCTTTACCAAACACGATTCCCTTTAACAGGGATGGGTCCAGCCTGAAACATCTCAAGCGCACATGGGACGAAGTCTCGCCATCCTGGCCTCTAAGGAGCATCCGGCAGGACTCTTCCCAGACAGATTTCCTCCTTCTGCTGGCGGTCTATAGTTTGAAGGCATCAATTAGACAACAATTAGGATAGACTTAATAAAAGGGGATTCCAGAAAGAAAAGGCTTTGGCAAATTATACACTGAAGGAAGAGAGGCAACGATAAGAGAATGGAGTTGACGTATATGTCAGGAAATGATTTAGATGTGTTTACCTTAGAAGTAATATAAACATAGCAAGGCATTGGGATGATTGGAGAGGAATCGTCACTGCCCCCCAGACTGGGAAGATGGTCCAATCCTGGGGCACACACATACGTTTTATTTTTTTTAAAAATATTTTATTAGAGGCTCATACAACTGTTATCGCAATACTCATACGTTTTAGGCATCTTCATGGAGACCCTGGGTGGTGCTCTCCTGTGCTGAGCTCTCAATTGCTGGCTGAAAGGTTGGTGGTTTGAAGCCACCCTCCTCCCCCACCCAGGTGCCTTGGGAAAAAGGCAATCATTTTTCACATGGTCACAGCCTTGAGAACCCGATTCAGCACCGTTCTACTCTGCAACACGTGAGGGAGTCAAACCCACTGCTTTGGCTGGGTGCTTTTTGTGATGGTGGAGTGGTTCTTCTCTTCAGGACACACATGGGGAACATCCTCAGGGGCGAACCACAAGGATGGCGGGTCGAGTCCAGTGAGTGGCTCCCCAGAAGAAAAGCCTAGAAATATAGTGCCCCCCCACCCCCAATCAGCCATGAAACACCCTGTCTTAGCACAGTTCTGCTGTAACCCACATGGGTCGCTGTGACTCACACCTAACTGATGCCAACGGTTTTTGTTTTAATTCTGTTTATGAAGGACCGACAGGGTTCTTGCTTTCCAAAAGTACAGTAACAGCAAGAAACACGTAAACTGTACTTGCCTATAAAGTGTTTTCCACAGATGAGGTGCTTCAATGTCCTCACCTGGATGTAACTGTCCGGGATCCCCACAACCACCCTTGGAGGGAGGTCCAGTTAAGTGGGTTCCTTAAGGTCCACAGCTAGTTAGTATCATCAGGCAGATTTGAACTCCAGAGCCTAGCTACGAAGCCCGAGTTCTCATTGACTGCACCACATGGAAAGCTTTGTCTGGGCATGGTTGCCTCTCTGGACACGTATTGTTTTGTAGACTATCCGGCTCGTATCTCCCTGTACCACGCTCCAAGCTTCCTATTTTGGGGAGCACAGTGCAGTCCCGAACCCTTATTTTGCTCTGGCCAATCCACCCGTGCCTGTCCAAAGGCTCCGGTGGATAGCGGGGAAGGGAAATGCCCATAGCGGTGCAGTCTCCTGGCACAGGGCCGCCCCCGATCTGTCTTCTTGGTGCAATTGCCAATATTCGTTGCAAAATGTTTTAGTAGATGCGTGAGTTAAGTCATTCTAAAAGCAGTCACTGCGTGTTCTGAGTGGAATATTTTACTAAGGAAGATGCAACTACTGGTAACCTACTTTCCAGGAAGCGTTTTCCAACTTAAAAGCCTACAAGTATTCTGGACACCTCACCCCTGTCTGAATAGAAACTTCCTTTTCCCCTCGCAGCGCTCTAACCCCGGTGCCTCGCTGCGCGGAACCCGCCACAAGGGGGCAGGAGCGGCCGCGGATCCCGGCCCGGCGGCGGACGCCGCGGCTCGGCTATTGCTTGCTCTCGCCTGACGCGCGGCTCTGGGCTCTCGGCCGTGGATTAGCGCATCTGAGGACGTGGGAGGCCGCGGGCCCCGCCCCCGGCCGCGGTGGCGGCCCAGCGCGGCACTCGGATCTGCGAGCGGAGCGGCGCGGAGGGCGCGACCGGTGGAGCCCTGGCCTGCGCGCTGCTTTCCGGGCTCCGGTCTGTGCGCCAGGGCGCGGCACCACCGCGGGCCCCTCGGGCGGGCTCCGGGCTCTAGGCGGTGGGAGTCGGCGGGCCGTCCGCCGGCCGGCCGGCGCGCCGGGACCATGGCGCTGCGCGCTCGGGCGCTGTACGACTTCCGATCGGAGAACCCGGGCGAGATCTCGCTGCGGGAACACGAGGTGCTGAGCCTGTGCAGCGAGCAGGACATCGAGGGCTGGCTCGAGGGCGTCAACAGCCGCGGCGACCGCGGCCTCTTCCCGGCCTCGTACGTGCAGGTGATCCGCGCTCCGGAGCCGAGTCCGGCGGGCGACAGCGGCCCCGGCGTCCCTGCCCGCTACGCCAACGTGCCGCCCGGCGGCTTCGAACCCCTGCCCGCCGTGCCGCCCGCCTCCTTCAAGCCCGACGCCTTCCAGCCGCTGCTGCAGCAGCCGCAGCAGACGGCGCCGCCGCCGAGCACCTTCCAGCCCCAGTGCGCGGGCTTCCCGTACGGCGGGGCCGCTCTGCAGCCGGCGCCCCAGCCGCTCTATGGCGGTGGCGGCTACCAGGCCAGCCAGGGCAGCGACGACGACTGGGACGACGAGTGGGACGACAGCTCCACGGTGGCCGACGAGCCGGGCGTGCTGGGCAGCGGCGCGTACCCGGACCTCGACGGCTCGTCCTCGGGGGTCGGCGCGGCGGGGCGCTACCGCCTGTCCACGCGCTCGGACCTGTCGCTGGGCTCCCGCGGCAGCTCCGCGCCCCAGCACCATCTGCAGCACCACCCGTCGGGGGCCAAGAGCTCGGCCACGGTGAGCCGCAACCTGAACCGCTTCTCCACCTTCGTCAAGTCGGGCGGGGAGGCTTTCGTGCTGGGCGAGGCGTCGGGCTTCGTCAAGGACGGGGACAAGCTGTGCGTGGTTCTGGGGCCCTACGGCCCCGAGTGGCAGGAAAACCCCTACCCCTTCCAGTGCACCATCGACGACCCCACCAAGCAGACCAAGTTCAAAGGCATGAAGAGCTATATCTCCTACAAGCTGGTGCCCACCCACACACAGGTGCCGGTGCACCGGCGCTACAAGCACTTTGACTGGCTGTACGCGCGCCTGGCCGAAAAGTTCCCGGTCATCTCGGTGCCCCACCTGCCAGAGAAGCAGGCCACGGGCCGCTTCGAGGAGGACTTCATCTCCAAGCGCAGGAAGGGCCTGATCTGGTGGATGAATCACATGGCCAGCCACCCGGTGCTGGCGCAGTGCGACGTCTTCCAGCACTTCCTCACGTGCCCCAGCAGCACCGACGAGAAGGCCTGGAAACAGGGCAAGAGGAAGGCCGAGAAGGACGAGATGGTGGGTGCCAACTTCTTCCTGACCCTGAGCACGCCCCCCGCCGCCGCCCTTGACCTACAGGAGGTGGAGAGCAAGATCGACGGATTCAAGAGCTTCACCAAGAAGATGGATGACAGCGCGCTGCAACTCAACCACACGGCCAACGAGTTTGCGCGCAAGCAGGTGACCGGCTTCAAGAAGGAGTATCAGAAGGTGGGCCAGTCCTTCCGTGGCCTCAGCCAGGCTTTCGAGCTGGACCAGCAGGCCTTCTCCGCCGGCCTGAATCAGGCCATCGCCTTCACCGGAGATGCCTACGACGCCATCGGCGAGCTCTTCGCTGACCAGCCCAGGCAGGACCTGGACCCGGTCATGGACCTGTTAGCGCTCTATCAGGGGCATCTGGCCAACTTCCCGGACATCATCCACGTTCAGAAAGGTAAAGTGTGGCCTTTAGAGCAAATGATATCGAATGTACTTTTTCAGGCTGAAATTCAAGGTGATTTTGATGGACCCCCCCCCCCAAAAAAAAAAAAAACGTATCAGGGATTAGTTGGTAGTTGTCCTCATTAAAGTACTCTTCAGGGAAGGTTTGAAGCGACTATTTATGACATTGCAATCATCATAGTTTGAATAGTTGGGTAATGAGCTCCTTTGTATCTTTCTATCTGTAATCTTGTGACTAGGGGGATTAGCAGGGGATCCAAACAGCGTAGAACTACAGTGTCACTTGGTGGTTTCAAGAAGCACAGGGAAGATTAGGTGTTGGCACTGAAAGGAAGTTCCACTTCTACCTTTCATGCCTCTCAGCCCCCACTTTGGTGGGGGAACACTCATGGCCGTGGAGTTGATTCTGAATCATGGTGACCCTATAGGACTGAGTAGAACTGCCCCTGTGGTTTTTCGAGACAGTAACTCATAATTGGAGTCGAAAGCCTCCTCTAGGGTCATTTTCCCAAGGTTGTGCTTGTGGGTCTGATGGGTCAGCTCCAACTCGAAGCGACCCAAAGCACAAGAGAAAGAGGAAAGAGAGCCCCGTCTGTGCCATCCTTCCAATGGTTGCTGTCTTTAAGGTCATTGCCGCAGCCACCATCCAGTCCTTCTCAGTGACAGTCTAGCTCTGGCAATCTAAGGACTTCCTGCGCACGCCTCTTGATGCCAACCTTTGGGAAAATGAGGTAGAAAACTCAACTATAATTTCAGGAAGTTTGAAGACAATGAGCTTCAAGTTTAAGCATTTTCAGCTTGAAATCTCTTAACTGGCCAAAATTAAGAACATTGCTTAGGAAAATTATGCTGGGAAACAAATAGGAATATTTCTAGAAATTGAGCAGTCTATCTGAGAGTAGTGTTTCAGGGGTACCAGTGAGTTAGCTCCCCCAACCGTCACCGTTTTATTATTAGTCACTAGTGTCCTTAAAGATGCCCCGGGGGCTTGGTTGGTTATGTGTGGGCTGCTAGCCACCGGGTCAGCAGTTCAAAATCACTAGCTGCTCCTTGGGAGAAAGATGGGGCTTTCTACTCCTGAAAAGAACATATCTCAGAAATTCTCAGGGACAGTTCTACTCTGTCATGTAGGGTGGCTATGAGTTTGGATTGACTCGTTGGCAGTGAATTAGTGCCCCTAATGTTTAGTAACAGAGTCTTGGTTGTATGAAGGTTAATTGAATGGTTGGCGGTTTGATCACCTGGTTCACATAAAGATTATCACCTAGAAACCCCAATGCGGAGGTTCTGCTGTGCCCCACAGGGTCACTGTGAGTCGGAATTGACTTGGTGGCATCTAACAACATCTTTTGTTTTAGTGCTGAAATGTGCAAGTTGTTTGTTTATAACAGAAGTGAGAGCAGCAGTCCCTGCCCTGACTTTACTCACTGATTTGCATTCTGGTGTAATGCCTGGCTTGCGCCAATCAGAAGGCGTTGGAGTTAGGTAGGCGGTCTTGTCTGTCCAGTGTGTGGAGAGGAGAGGAGGGAAAGAGGAAATCGTGTGTGGCGCCTGCCTCTGTGTAGGCAGAAAGCTCCTGGGGACATCAGCCTGCCCTTCCTTGCCAAGGTGCTCACCTACCTGACCAGGTGAGCCAGTCTGCATTTGAATAGCTCTGATCTTTGGTGTGGTGTCCTTCCTTTGTGCTGACCTAAAATGCATGTCTTGATTCTCTTGCTGTCCTTAGCAGCCACACAGCAAACCTATTTATTCCTCAGCCACACGTCAAGCATGTGGCTGTCTTCTACCATAACCATGAGGGCAGGGGTGGCGTTCTTGAGCTAGATCCATGATCCTACTAGACTGCAGTACCCTGAGATGTCGGCAACTTGAACTTGAACATTGTGGCTTCCTTGGCAGTTTAAACTTTACAGTGGCAGCCGAGAGTTGGAGTAGCTTTTGAGGGGCCATATCGCTGTTGGCATATTTTGAGCCTGCTTTCCATTCGCTGTGTTTTTTTGTATGACTTGCTCCAAATCTTTCACTTCTTGGCTGGTGCTGGTGGCTCTGGGTTTTTGAGCCTTTAATTTGGGACTGCATATATAAGTTGGACTGTGTTACATGGGTTATGGATGCTGGCTGCCTTTTTCATATTGCTGTGAGTTTATGCAAATGGTTGGAAATGGGTGGAGCCAGGTAAAGCATATCCTTGCTGCCTGATCCTGGTGACTGTCTGTGCCCGGATGGTATCGGTTCATTCATTGTTTGTGCCGTCCTGCCGGCCACATGTTCAGAAACATGATGGCAGCTTTTGTCAAGGGCCCTGCTGTTGAAATGATCTGTTAGGAAAGGCAATTGGATTCTGTCTTAAGGTCTACTTGGGTTTTACTCTGGTTTACTCAGTCTCTTAAACCACCCAGTTTATTGGCCGCCACCCCTGAGAACAAAAAACCTAGAACTGGAATGATCACCTGTTGTTTGGGATTTGCAAAACCACTTTCATTAAAATCATGATCATTCCATGTGATTTAAGCAGATTCAAGAGCATTTATGCATAGCCTAGGAACGTTGGGAAGAACACTGGTTAAGACTCAATATAGCTGGCTTCTGCTGTGGCTTTGGCATGAACCGGTGTCCCTAGGTGACGTGTCTTTAGCATGGTTGGCCACCTAGAGCCGCAGTGTGCAACAAGCAGGCATTATTAGCACTTACCTGCAGCCGACGTTCATCAGGAATGCTAGCGTGGGTGGCCTCTGGGAACATAGGTGAGACTAACCCCATGACCTAGGCATGCGAAGCTTCTTGAGCATATTGGGGACTTTGGAGTAGTTCAACTTTGCTCCGCTCTTAACAGCGCACTTGCTATGTATTGGAAGGGGTCTCTCTTACTCTGGGCACTTGGGGATTCTCTTTATAGGTTTTTTTTTTCCCTTTAAGGTCTCGGAGCATAATTGCATCAAAGGGTGTACTGTGACTTTTAAGCAATTTAAACAATCTGTGTTGTAGGTATTGGACTCCAAGTTTATGCCCCAAAACAACCAAACCGCTCGTTGTGCCTGGTCTTTGTTTAAAGTAAAAAGAAAACAATTCCACCATTTCTACATTTCACAGGTTCTAACATCTTGTGAACTGTCCATATTTAGATGCTCTAGAACCTGAGTAGAAAGTGCAGTGAAAGAGAGTTCATTAGGCATCCATCCACCACACCCCTTTAAGTCCCTGTGGTGGGGGTGGTGGTGGTGAGGAAAGGAACTTGACCTCCTGAAAAAACATCTGTATCTTATCCAGAAAAAACATCTGTAGTCAGTCAATTTGTGGCGTACCCTAGACCTGCGCTGTCCGATACAGTCAGACTCTAGCCGGGAGTCTGATGTGGCTATTACATTTAAGTTAATTAACATTGAATACATTCATAGTTCAGTTCCTTCATCACACTAGCCGCAATTCAAACGCTTAGGAGCTGCTGGAGATCCTGTTGGCCAGTGAGACCGAGAACATTCCGGTCACCAAAGAAAGTTCTCATCGGACAGCGTTCTGCTAGCCCATCGACCCCACTTTATCAGGCAAACTTGTGATGTGTTTCCCGCCCCTCCCCCCTGCAAATTATTTATTTATTATTTTTATGACGTACTTTCCAGATAGCGTGACTTGGTTGTCCCATGGCATCCCCTTCCTCACATAGAGACTTCTGGAATGAAAACCCGAGGGTGCAGCAGGCCCAGCGTGATCTGACTCACGCAAGTCCCCTTCTCTGAGCTAGCATGGGCCCAGGAGCACGCCCGACTGCTAGGCAGCCTGTCTTCACTGCCTGTCCCGTTCAGAAACCCAACTGGCCCCCAAATAGACATCTGAGCTGACCAGGAACCAGCTACAGAATGCAGGGGGAAGCTCTTCCCTGTGCAGACTGGCGGTTTCCTGATGACACTTACTTAGCACTGAAAACGAGCTTGAACTTCCTAGTGGTGTCAGTGTGTGCGCCTTCTGCACCAGTGAAGAAAGAGCTGTGTGGGCCTTTCCGCAGCAAGGGAATACCAGAATTCTGATGTTTGTTTTTCCCTTCAGCTAATGCGGTCTCGGCGAGACAGCCCTGTGCAGTTAATAGCGTGACGACAGAAGACCGTTTGCTGTAGCGTGCTGTCCAGTAGATGGGAATTCGGACGCTGTTTGAATTTTGTTCCTAGTTTGTTTGACATCACAGGAGTTCTTTACGTTCTTTGTTCCCCAGCAGCTCATTGGCCCCGGCGAGGCTGTACACACACGTCTGTCACTGACCAGCCTCCCAGCTTCATGATCCCGTGATCTCAGTGCACTTTTCTTTAAATGGCATCATTTTAGCTTCTCCCTTCTTATCCTCCCTGTTTTCAGAATGCTGATGTTGGGGAGCTGGAGCAGGGGCATTATACACAGAAGAGATTTCACTATCAGTTTCGCAGCATATGCAGTTTTATTTTCAAAGACCCACCTAATCTCTAATACAGGATTTGATGCCGCTGACTCTGGATGGCAGCAAGCCCTTGTGGTTGAAAAGCCTCAGGCTTATCTCTCGGGTGGGGAGATATTACAGAAGGCCCAAGTCAGAGGATGAGAAATGCTGGCTTCGTCTCTGGTTAGGACTTGATAGGCAGAGGGAGCCACGTGAAGAGCAATCTCTTTATTCCCGAGAAAGCTTATAAAATCACAGAAAACCAGTTTGCTAGGACACAGTCTGTGCCGAGTGAAGCAGGGAGGCAGGGCAAGTAAACAGCCAGGCAGCCCTGTGCTCTGTACTTGGAGATACGCAGAGGCTGCACCAGCAAACGCCCTCTGCACGGTCCCGTCTGGAGCCGGCTTTTCGACAGAAAGCACCCCCCGGAGCTCAGGACCGGTTCACCAGTCATGGGCCCGTCTCCCTCGCTGGGTAGAATTTCACCCTTGTGCTTCTGGTCCACCATGTGAAGGCTTGGTCTTGTGCCCCTGAGCCATGAATTAAAGATAGCTGGCGTCCAGCAGGGCGAAAAGGGGAGGCAGGGCGAG